GTATAGAGAGCGACAGACGGATCTAACTACCGTTTAGAACTGCTGTTTAGAATAGTATACAAGGTCTTTTAACAGAGGTAGGTAGAAAAGCCATAGCTTACGGCGAGAAAGAAGTGCATCGTTTTTTTAAACAAGCCCTGGCCTATTTAGGTCTATATATATTTCCACAACTATATATCACAACTATATTAAATATCAACAATATAATACAGTGTAGAACAGTAAACGAAAACTTACATCAACAGTTCCTCAAATCTGATCGCCGTATAAAATACAGTAGCTACGTTCATCTATGTTTAATATAATGGGAGGGCTTTTGGAAGGCTGGCAAACATCAAAGCGACACGTGACGTTAGTCGTCTAAATATAGGTAGAGTAGTAAGTACTCCGCGCGACCTGTAATAGCTCACAAATGAGTATTTTTTAATATAATCTTTTAGAAACGATTTGAAAATATTATATTTTGTTTCAGAGGAATCTCAGTTATACCGCATTTGATATGACGATATGCCATAGTTATAATCGTACATTCCGTCGTCTCATGGAAACCACCCCATACAAACAGCAAAACAGAACAACTGCTTTATACAAAGTTTGGTTCTTTAGTGACTCCAAAGTCTCGTAGGAGTAGTCGAAATTTCACTGGTTACGCTATACATGAATACATAGTAATCAATACATCAGCTATGGTATGTTTCGGCGAAATAGAAAAATGTTCACTATATTATGCATGGCTCGTGCGTCTCATTTTGCAATATAATTTTATAGAAACGATTTGAAAATATGATATTTTCCTATAGTTGACCGGCGATTATTTGGGACATACAAAGTTTCAGCATAGTCCGCATTTGTTACGGGCATGTCTTGAATAAATTGTTGATTGTAAAAAGTTTTCTGTTAATCCATGCAGTGCATCAGAGCACATGCAGGTATGGACTATCGGGTATCATAGTATCATATTACATCAATAGAATTAATGACAAATCATAAACTCATAACAAAGAGTCGTCATTTGTCTCAGCTAGGACGGGTATTAAATAAGCGTATCCGAATTTGTTAAAGTAAACGTCGAGAAGGTCTTTTTGTCTATTCTTTAGGCACTAGTTATACCACATTTGTGGCAACGATATGTAAAATTATAATGTACCCGTCGTCTCATCGAAGGAGCCCCATATATAGAAACATCAAAACAGGACAACTGCTATATACAGAGTTTGGTTCACTAGTGACTGCATAGATATACCTGCATGTAGTCTAAATTTCACTGGTTATGCTATACATGAATACATAGTAATCAATACATCAGCTATGGTATGTTTTGGCAAAATAAAAAATCTCACAATGGGCATGGGCCTGTGCGTGTTCGATTATAAAAAAGTATATAGAAGCGGTTAAAATAAACATCTCGCAGATAAATTGGCAATGTTGGTTTTGTAGAGAGCGAGAGACGGAACTCACTGCCGGCGTTTAGAACTGCTGTTCAGTAGAATAGCATACAAGGTCTTTTTAAAGAAGTAGGTACAAAGGCTATGGCTGACAGCGAGAAAGAAGTGCATAGTTTTTTTAAACAAGCCCTGGCTTATTTAGGTCTATATATATTTCCACAACTATATTATATCACAACTACTAAATATCAACAATACAATACAATGTACAACATGCAGTAAACGAAAACTTACATCAACAGTTCCTCAAATCTGATCGCCGTATAAAATACAGTAGTTACGTTCAACTATGTTTAATATAATGGGAGGGTTTTTGGAAGGCTAGCAAATATCAAACTGACACGTGACGTTAGTCGTCTAAATATAGGTAGTGTAGTAAGTACTCCACGTGACCTGCATGTAATAGCTCACAAATGAGTAATTTTGTAATATAAGTTTATAGAAACGATTTGAAAATATTATATTTTCCTATGGTTCACGGATATTTTAGGTTTTGTTTCAGAGGAATCTCAGTTATACCGCATTTGATATGACGATATGCCATAATTATAATCGTACATTCCGTCGTCTCAGGGAAACAACCCAATAGAAACAGGAAAACAAAACATGCAACTGCTTTATACAAAGTTTGGTTCTTTAGTGACTCCAAAGACCCGTAGGAGTAGTCAAAATTTCACTTGTTATGCTATACATGAATACATAGTAATCAATACAGCAGCTATGGTATGTTTCGGCGAAATAGAAAAATGTTCACTATATTATGCATGGCTCGTGCGTCTCATTTTGCAATATAATTTTATAGAAACGATTTGAAAATATGATATTTTCCTATAGTTGACGATTATTTGGGACATACGAAGTTTCATCATAGTCCGCATTTGTTATGGGCATGTCTTGAATAAATTGTTGATTGTAAAAAGTTTTCTGTTAATCCATGCAGTGCATCAGAGCACATGCAGGTATGGATTATCGGGTATCATAGTATCATATTACATCAATGGAATGACAAATCATAAACTCATAACAAAGAGTCGTCATTTGTCTCAGCTAGGACGGGTATTAAATAGAGGTTTCGTATCCGAATTTGTTAAAGTAAACGTCGAGAGGTTCTTTTTGTCTATTTTAGGCACTAGTTATACCACATTTGTGGCAACGATATGTAAATTATAATTGTACTTTCCGTCGTCTCATCGAAGGAGCCCCATATATAGAAACATCAAAACAGGACAACTGCTATATACAGAGTTTGGTTCACTAGTGACTGCATAGATATACCTGCATGTAGTCTAAATTTCACTGGTTATGCTATACATGAATACATAGTAATCAATACATCAGCTATGGTATGTTTTGGCAAAATAAAAATCTCACAATGGGCATAGGCCTGTGCGTGTTCGATTATAAAAAAGTATATAGAAGCGGTTAAAATAAACATCTCGCAGATAAATTGGCAATGTTGGTTTTGTAGAGAGCGAGAGACGGAACTCATTGCCGTTTAGAACTGCTGTTTAGAATAGCATACAAGATCTTTTTAAAGAAGCAGGTACAAAAGCCATGGCTTACGGTAAGAAAGAAGTGCATAGTTTTTTTCAACAAGCCCTGGCTTATTTAGGTCTATATATTTCCACAACTATATTAGATCACAACTACTAAATATCAACAATACAATACAATGTAGAACAGTAAACGAAACTTACATCAACCGCAGTTCCTTAAATCTGATCGCGGTATAAAATACAATAGCTACGTTCAACTATAGTTAATATATCATATGCGAGGGTTTTTGAAAGGTTGGCAAATATCAAATTGACACTTGACGTTAGTCGTCTGAAAAGGTTGAGTAGTACTCCACATGACCTGTTATAGTATACAAATGAGAAGTTTTGTAATATAATCTTATAGAGACGATTCAAAATATGATATTTTTGGGAAGTTTCATCATAGTTCGCATTTGTTACGAATATGTGTTGAATGCATTGCTGATTGCGAAAATTTTTTTGTTAATCCAGTGCATCAGTGAACAGGTATGCACATACATCATAGTCATGTCTTTGATTGCGAAAGGATTTTTGTTAATCCTGTGCATTAGTTAACAGGTGTGGATTATCGGATGAAAAGAGCCCCATATATATGTTACGCAAGGGTTTATTATGTTCAGCATCTGCATATTATCATCGTTGTCAAAGTGGGAAATATCAACTGCATAGTATGATGTGAATGAGTAATTGATTATTACCACAGAATGCATGGGTGAATATACTTTTGGCCTTTCGCAAATATCAATTACTTTTGCCAGTAATAGCTTAGTGTCAATCATTCTGTCCGAACCAGTAAGGGTTTCCATAAATTCCATTCAGGGGCGTAACTAGAACGATAATTGGGGGGGGGTGAATATTCATATATCCCGCTCTGCCCTTCGGATTTCTTTTGTAATTGCAATAGCTTACAATAGAAATCCGTCGGGCAAAACTGAATATATGAATATTCACCCCCCCAATTATCGTTCTAGTTACGCCCCTGATTCCATTTCTAAGGAAATTTATTTCGTAAAGTGCTCCACTAAGGGAAATAGAAAAAATTTCACAATATGCATGGGCTTGTGCGTGTTCGATTATGAAACAGCATTATGAAAGGTTAAAATAAACATCACGCAGATAAACTGGCAATGTTGGTTTTGTAGAGAGCGACAGAGGGTCCTTTCAGAGACATAGGTAAGTATACAAAAGCTTTGACTTACGGCGAGAACGAAGTGCATAAATAATTATTTTTCAACAAGCCCAGGTTTATTAAAGTTGATATATCTGTACATAAAGTGTTTATTTTAGCGACTGCTTGTATGAATTACTACACTACCTCCTGTACTCCATATAATTGTCTGGTTCCTTCAACCTTAAATTATTCGATGAACGGTGAAGACAATATATCAATATGAGGCATATATAAATATACGATTGTCGTCGAAAACGAGGCAAATAACTACCATTATATCACAATGACAAAATATTAACAATATATTACAATGTAGAACAGTAAACGAAAACTTACATCAACAGTTTCTCAAATCTGATCCGACTGATCGGCGATCGTTCAACTATAGTTTATATATTGGGAGGATTTTTGAAGGCCGGAAAAAATTAAAGCGACACGTGATCTTCGTCTAAATATGTTTAGAAGTACTCCACGTGGCCTGTTATAGCGCACAATACGATGATTCCCGATATGAAAATATGTTATTTTTCTATGGTTCACGAGTAATTTTGGAAATAAGTAGTTTGATCATAGTCCGCATTTGATAACAGTCCGCATATAGCGGGCTTGCGCCTGACAAGGTGCCCGGCTTTTTATACTCATGCATTATAAACGACAGATGAAGATACATCGACAATACCTTCATGTCCAAAAATGCCCTGACAATACCTTCATGTCCAAAAAATAGTCTGCTAAGGCAGAACAATAACACTTGTGTTCTAAAAATATGCATAGAAGAACCGGCCATACACGGGATTAATTTCATACAGTTTGTCTTTAATACAAATTGCTTTAATACAAATCATCTTTTGTTGAATACGCTTTATATCTAGCCTACGCGAATTTAAAATAGTTTCTCCAAACCGAACGGCAACACAAAAATTGCAAAATGCATTAATTTGAGTAAGAAGATTACATGCTTCATGTTTTCTAAGTTCCGGAGAAATATCAGGAAAAATCCTCGACACGTATAGCAGTCATAACGAATTCAAGCTCGCGGACACGGTCTTCCAAGTTCAGTACACTTTTGGCATAGTTCTTGGAGGTGTCTCGGAATCGGCCGTTGGTTTCTGGAAGCAATTTTAGGAATGTAAGTCTGCCGGTTTCTATGAGGACGCTGCTTTAGAGGGTAGCATTTCTCGATTGAATTCCTCCTTTCGTTGCAGTTGTAACAGGCTTGCCACTTGCCAATCCAACTTCTACCATTTTCCCACGTCTTGTGACATTTAGTGCAATAATACGGCCCAAAACATGGTTCTTTTCCAGCATACTTCTGAAATGTAACCACCAAAGCTCCTTTGTTAACTGGCTTAAACTCCAACTTGCGCTTTTTTAGATATTTTTCAACCATAGGTCGGATACGTTTCCGTCCTTTGGAGTGATTTCCGGACCCAACAATGATCTCAAGCCACATCTCAGCATCTTCCTCGGCCACATTCATATCAAATTTTTCATCCAGTCTTTCACGCAATTTCCTACGGCAAAAGGAGCATCTAATATTGGACACCCTATATATGATAATATTTTGTAAATCGCTACTCACTGTATATGAGCTGTTCTGCAATCTAATTGGCCGAGATACTCAACGTGTATCAGCTCATAAACAGAGAGTAACAAAAACAAAATGGCAGACAATTTTGCTTAGGAGTGATAAAGAAGAAATTAAAAAAATTCGATCAGGTGCCAGATATTTAAAACAATACAACAAAATATGAGATAAAAATATTTAGGGGTAAGTAGAACTGAGAAAAAGCATGCATTGGCTCAAGAATCTATTTATAATGTATTCTCACACTAATTTCTAGATAAAATATTTACTGATAATTATATGAATATTCAAGAATATTATAATCTAATCATTGATCAATTTGTGGCAAACTTTTAAAAATGTCGGAATGTCGCATGAGTAGAATTGCAAAGGCCGGTTCGTTCGCACAGGCGAAGCGAATGTAATTGAAAACAGCCTTAAGAGCCACGCATGTTGATTATAACTCAGTGAAAACTCGAAAATTAAGTAAGTATGCAAATTCCAAAGAGGCAATCGGTAGGTAGGAATCAGGATCGTTGCTTAGGCTTTTTCCTTACAAATTTCACATGATATAAAATTTTTCTTGAATTCAACTGCGATTTGTTCTCTGCTTTCTTAAGCTTATTAAATAAATAGATGATAAAGACGTGTAGATACAATACCTTATGGCTTCATTGCCACTATCCCGTTGTTCTTCAATTTCCCTTACCACGTCATCCAGGCTTTTTTCATCTTTGGCTTTGGAGAGCAGACGTTGTTTATATTCTTCGAGCTTGTCTTCATCGACCACCAATAATCCATGAAGATCAATCTCACTTTGGCGACGTCCAGCATTACAGAGTTGAAAAAACTCTTCACATGCTTCATTGTGATATCTTTGCATTAGTTTGGCGTATTTTGTTTTTAGTGTCCTGCAAAAACGAGAACAGGCACTGTTACCAGCCTCATAAAATTTAGTAGCCCTTCTTTTCCACTGTTCTCGAGCCTTGTCTAATTCAAACGCCTTTTTCCGATAGTACAAAGCTCTGAGAAGATGCAGCAGACTGTTTTGAAATTTTTTTATTTTGCCACTGCTTTCGTCAAGTGGAAACTCAATATCTGTATTAACGAGTTGAACCGTTTTAATTTCAGGATTGTTTACCATCCCGCAAAATCTTTTAATATTATTTAGGTGACAATAATCCTCCCCGATTACGTCTTCCTTCGTAACACCTTGGCAAAAAATATTTGAAGAATTGTATGACCATGCAAGAATACAGTTCCCATCATCATACCGTTCAAATACTTGGACTCTTGGCAGAACTAAAGGATTTTCAATTCTCTTGTCGTTTACAAAGCACCAAAATTTTGGGCGCGGATCGTCTTTCGCGACGTTCGTCAATTGCACAACAATGTTGTATGATCCATTGTTTTCTGATAAAGAACATACCTCTGTCTCGGTGTCCTTGTATTTCATCTTGATGCAACCCGCTGTGAATCTTTTTCCGTCATAATCATAACCAAGAACGTCTTTTAGTGCCAAACAACACCGAAATGATTCATCATCGGGGAACATAGGTTGATCATTTATATCGTCAAATTCAGGTAACCATCTCACTGATGAACTGCCATAGTCTAATGGAGCATCTGTAATTGTGATCGAGAACGAAGTGCTAGCTACAATGATATCGTCCTGATCTGCTAAACAAAGGCTATATGTTCCATTTTTCTCGAAGTAAAACTCCACAGTAGCTTTGTTGTTGCCTTGAATATTTTTCTTTACAAACCATTGTTCAGGACCGCTTTGCTTTAAAAGATTTGGAATATTTGATGAATATGAATTTGGTGAACTCGATATTTCATTATCAAATCGATCAAACAAGGATATTTCAGAGATCAATTTCTCTCTCCTGAAAGCATTCTCTTTTACGGCAGTGAACCCCCAATGTATATCGTTCAGTTCAGGGTGGATGTCAATGTGTATGACTTTCTTTTTTGAGCTATTGCAGTTGTCATAGATCACCAGCTCTCTGCTTCCAGCTTTAGTAAGAACCATTGAGAAACAAACTACAATACCTGACTCGTCCTTTGTTGTTTTCAAAACCTTTGTTTCTTTTTTCGCATCGAAGTTGGGAATGTGGCACGCGATATTAAAATCTGCAGTCGAGTTAGCAGGCAAGGGGCAACCAAAGATATCACAAAGAACGATTTCTAGTTGAATCTCATTGCCAGCCACGCAAACTTCAGGATAATAGAAATTTGATCCTTGCAAGTACACTGGCGCATTGTTAACTTGCACTGGAATAAATCTCAAACGGAACACTTCCTCCGGGCTTTTTCTATCACTAAGAGCTATTGACAGGTTATACTTTCCGGCCTCATTAATCTTCGTGTCTACTGTAAGTATTCCATTCTGAATGTCTCTCTTTCTGGATTCTATTTCCATTTCCTCTCCCTCCTCGCTGGATAAATTTAAAGCTATGATGCTGTATTCCTTACACAAACCTCGGACAACATTCCCGTAGGAATCTTCCAATGTTGCTTTAAGAATTGACCATTGGTTCCGATACACCATCGTTGGGTTCGTGTTACTTGGTTTGTACCTGACGTCAAATGGCTTTTTAGAGCAGGTGAATGCAACATTTTGCAAACATTTAGGCGACGAAGGAAGTATTTCAACGGATAAAGTTTGACCTAAAAGAAAAATATATTTTTGAACTTGGGCGATACTCCATGAAATATCTAATATATTTTTTCTTGCGGTCCGAGTTTACATTTTAGCGTTTCCTGCAATCTGATTGGCTACGCGAGCGGACCGTACGGACCGCGAGATTTGAAAGCACGCACGGGGGGCGGGTAATTAAAAAAAACAACTCTATTATTTACCAGTTTAGTCGGTCCGTATAGGGAAATATTTCTTTTGGTCTCAAAAATGTTGTTTTTGAGACCTTGGGAAATATTTCCCTATACGGACCTCCAATCTGGTAAATAACATATATGTGTGGATTACAGTTACAGTAGATACGCGATTACGTGCGGTCTAATGTACATATGGAAATGCCCCCACGAGTTCTTCTTACAATGCCTCTCTCTCAGTCTCTCTCACTTCCAATGCCTCTCTCTCAGTCTCTCTCACTTCCAATGCCTCTCTCTCTCGATCTAAAAATCATCCAGGAAGGAATCATCCTGAATTATCATCCAGACCAGCAAGGCATATAGGTCAATAGAGCCTTATACGTGTGGCGTTCACGACAAACGGGACTACAGGGATCCAAGGATAATGCAAAGTTTCAGTGCCCTCCCGATACCTAGGCAACCAGACGTCTGTAGCAACATATAGGATTTTGACTTTACCAATAAAATTCTAAAGAAGCAGGTTTAACATATCCCCGAATCAAGCATGATCAAACGGAGGTTTCATTGCTAATATTACAACTGCTAAATACAGCACCGCACACGAATATGGCATTTTTTCTATAGTTATAGCTGTGAATTATTAAAGCGTTGGGATCGCTAGCTTGGAGAATTCATACTCAAAAGTACTTAAATTACGTTTGCCGCGATATTGCCATCATTGAATTCTATTCTTATTGGTCATGCGAAGCGATCGCAATTTCAACCGCGGTTATGTATATTATATACAGTATTCCCTCTAACTCGAACTCCGGAGGGGAAAGAAAAATTGTTCGAGTTACCAGGGGTTCGAGTTAACCGGGGCTGGTGTTAGGTTTCGTCTAAATATTATACACTGAATGCATGCTCCCGAGGAAAATAGTGAGTTTTGTTTTCCCAAGAGTCTGAGTTTCCCAAGAGACTCGAGGGAAAGCAAAACTCACTATTTCCCGAGGTGTAGCGAACATTAAGTGTTTTGTTATATAAGAACAAAAACATACATGTTACACGACAATTTCATTTCAAAAAACTTTGTTATGACAATATGCGGGCATCAATTTTTCACTTGTTTCCCTGGCGGGAAACATTGCATTTATTTACAGTCATGTGACTACGAATGAACCAATCACATTTAAAATACACAGCACCTATATAACAATCACATATATTGGTTGCCGTAGTTCATGCTTTTATTTCCTAAAAATATCGAGTAATTCATTTGTATAAATTTATCAGTTGGCTTACGGAGTTCATCAAATTATTCAATTATTTGAAAAATTCCTAACTTTCGGTTTCGAATTGTCCAATCATATTCGTCTATTTATTTCATTATCCAATAGGATTAGAGAGTGGTCAACTCGAAACCGGAAGTTAGGAGTTTTTCAAGGTGTTTTTGTATATATTGTCATCGCAAACGTACCGTATGTTAACACATAACCATTTAGCAATAGGCTTATATAATTAGACAATCCGCGATAAGTTTACAACGCGCTCAAACCACAACCTAAAGCATGCAGAAAATATAAACATACACTCGTGACTCGTTATTGAAATTTTGGCTTCAAAAAATCTTGTTGAACATGGAAACTTATCCTCATGAGGTAAGATCAAAGCAATCTCTTCGGAGGTAAAACTCAAAACAATCTCTTCTGAGACGATTAACGAAATCAAAAGAAATTCACTAGCAAACCATTATACACTGTATTAGGTGTATAAATTCATAGGTCACTATACGCGTAGCTGTTGTTGTCACCGCCGACCGACTGTACGGAAAATGAGCGATCAAGTGCACCTTCCAGGTTGCCTTTAAAGAGAATTATATTGACTATGAGGAAGAGAAAAAGTAGATCCACTTTACTGTGAAGAATTATTTCAAATATTTTGTAAGAAAAGCCCCTAGCCCTAGGTCATCCATTTTAAATAAGATAGCTAGCAATTTCAAGCAATGTTCTTTTCAATTTGTGCCAATGCGACATATTTTTTTATCCATTCATTCGGATATTTAAAGCATTTTGTCAACTTAGAAGAAAAAAACATTTATGTAGTAAAAAATCATTTTGTAATGTTTTTTACAGTCTAAAGATAGCAGGCAATATTGCTAGTAAACAATATCACATGACTCAAAGGAAACTAATGTTGTCAGGAGATATTGAAAGAAATCCTGGTCCTGTTCAAGACAACAGTCCCACTAACAAAGACTACAACGCTTTCATTTCAGACCATTTTGATGTTGGTGGAGATTGTGACTGCTTTTTTCGAGCTGTGTCTCATCAGTTGCACTGAGCACCATCTACAAGTTTAAGCATTTGGCATTGCTTATATGAGGGCTAATAAGTAACACTGAAACTCATGGTTAGAATACCTCAATAATATGTCCATGCAAGGGTGATGGGGTGATCTATGCATGATTATACAAGCTGTGGCTGATCAGCTGAAGTTGAGGATAGTCATTAGTGAGACACATAAACAATTTTTAGAACACACTATAGTACAGGGATTTTCACCAACAGATCAACTTTCGAGATATTCATTTAGGTAATATAGATGAGTATCATTTTGTATCAACTTTGCCATCAGGTACTTCTAAATCCTGAACAGTCAAATAGGAGTGCTCAATTAGAAGCAAAGAAGAACAGAATATATGAAAAAATACATGAAGGAAAAACGAGCTAATGAAACACAGAACCTAAGGCTAAGCAATAGCGAAAAGCATATGCAATGGAATATAGGAAACGCAAACAAGCATGCAAATGAAACCTCCCAGCTGTCAAAACAGAGCACGTCTATATATATTGCTTGAACAGCGGTAAAACATAGTGTAGGTAATCATCCAGCCCCATGCAACTGTAGACGGGAAATTAAAAAACATGACTAAATTCATATAGAATTAAATTGTTGTTATTTCGACAGTTTCTATAGTAATGTATACGCGGTGTATTTCTATACGGTTTATTGGCGAACATTATGGTTTCCAGTTGTCAAAAATGTTCTCACATTTTAAAGTTTGCTGATCTATGATTCGAAACCAAAGTTCGAGTTAACCGGATATATTCGACCAAGGGAAAACAAAATTCATCTATTTATTTAAGTGGAGTAAATTACTATAAAGAACATTACCAAATCAAGGGGAATTGGATTTAGTTCGATGTAGTGAGGAGTTCGGGGATACTCTATAACCAATAATGCGATGCTTCTGTTTATATATTTGTAAATGGATCGTAATAAGATAAAAAGCAATATATATACTTAGTTGAAATTTTTTTTGGTGTATATTAATTTTATGCCTGGTCTAGTGCTTTATATATACAGTCGTTTCATAATGAATAGACTATATAAATATTCTGTAATACCTGCACGTTAGTCAATATACTGTAAACATCTGAATAACTGAATTGTTTCAAAATTTCAAAATAACATTGCTACGTTCTCGTTTATCATCTCTGTATAATAAATGCTGTAGTGCCTGTATACCGCCAACATGATTTCTGCGTCGGATGTCGGGGTTTAAAACTCATTGCCGTCCGATCAGATGACATTTCGAAGTGGTTTGCTGATTATAACTTGCGATTCCTGTTCGAATACTTGACCGATTTTAACAAAAATAGGAGCGATTTAAAGAAGAAATTGTTTTCAGTAGATACATGTTTTTTTATATCGATATGTTGTCAATTCGCTACGATATTCACTTTATTCTTTAAAGTGCATGTGCTTTTTATATTATTCAATATTGCACATCAAAGCGGCCTAAAAATATTGCCCAAAATGCAAACGAACACCGGTTGCAGTGGTTTAGTTCACATATTCAGGATTATTTTGATATCTTTAGCGTCAAAATCGAGCCTTTAGAAGATTTTTGCCGTTTTTTTATATAAACATACATTGATGATATGAATTCGCGTCACCGGCGATAATATTTCACAATAATGAAAATATCGAAAAAAAATTCGGGCAAAAAAAGCCGAAAATCTGCCCCCAAGGTCTAATTTTACGCCAGAAATCGATTTCCGGGGTCAAATTTACCCTAGGGGAAGGCATTAGGGAGTTTTGTCACATTTTCCAACCGCATGACAACATTCCGAGCATGCGGTCAGCACGCGCTTAGCAACAATTATCGCTTAGCACTTATAAAATGCTATTTTCTCCGCTTCTTTTGCACATCCTACCCCAACAATTACTCAGAATTATAACAGAATGATAATATGTAAAATTCAGACATTTTAAAGAACACAGAGAACAAAAAAAAGCGAGAAAATACTGAATTTCTAAAGTATATGGTTGCTATGGGGAGTAATTTGAGATAACAAAGCAACATATTATTTGATTCATGTTTTGACTTATAATACAAATGCAGTTTATTACTATATGCGGGTTTGAAAATACTATTTAAATCGTCTTTTCAAGCTCTATCGTTTGGTGGTATTCCGGGGTCTTTAGCCCAAATACTTGCTGAGATATTTAAGGTTTTGCTTTTCCCGACAATATTGTCGGGAGCAATAGTGACCAGACGGCAATGAGTTTTAATAGTATCAAAACCTGCCGGAGGACCGATAGTTGACTTATTTTTCCATCAACTGCATGTTCCTAGCTTGAATTTGAAGTGTGTATAATTCCACTCGAAATTAAGGCCCTTTGATGAACCTCTAGAATTTACCTGCATCGAGTGAAGTGACAACAAAAATCATAATTTATTTACCCCCAAATGGCTCAGAATATTCAATATATAAGTACAATATTCACGTAATAAGAGATGTCTATACATCAACATCACATAAGCTCGTAATGCATAGCACAAATCTATAGATTGCGTGGAATCTCGAGAATTTACTGGAAAATATTGTAACGATTGGAACTGTTCGCAACGGCGTTCAATCGATTTATACGAAATTTCCAAATCAATCGATTTCCTCGCAATTTGTCTCTTTCAAAATGACTAAGGATAGAAACGGTCTGATTATTCTGATATATTTATATACTTAGGGTACATTTATTGCGTGTCACTTGTACTGCCAAAAGATTTTTATTACTGTAATTCTCCGAGTGAAGGGGACATTATTCCCGTGTTTAATTCCTTCGTTATGATAAGGTTGAAATGAATACGTTTTATTTACTTACGATCAAAGCGATACCATTTTCCTAAGTCTAGGTTCACATTTGCCTTTCCAGCGCGACGAGCAACGCATGTAACATGTAGCAGCCTATGATTTACTTTAGTGACTTTAAATTTGCAGTCAGAGTCTCCCACAGCTTTATTGTACTCATCACTATATGAAACAGTTATGTTGTTCTCGTGGTGATCTTCAAACTTTGAATTACGATTGGTTAACTGGATACTACAGAGAAGAACGGAATCTCCACAAGTTACCGTTGGATTATCCTGGTTAACCTTTACTTCATCTGCAACGAAGCTCCATAGCCATCTAGAGACAGCTTCCATTTTGTTGTACGCGGATGAATAATTTATTTGCCCAAAAGGCAAAGCACTAACAGGTAATATGAGACTCCGTAAATATTGATATATCTTTTTAACATGACGTCTAAATTGTTATAAATAATTAAGAGGGTCCTGAAGTGAATGGGGTAAAATGGGAACTTAGATTGCCCCGTTTTTACGCTGGGTCCCTTCCATGCAGGACTACTGGGCTATACAGGGTGTATCAAAAAAAACGCAACACTTAATATTCTAAAATTCATATTGTTCATAAGCTCAATAGATTTTATGCCCCTGGGATTTTAAAATGGCTTCTAATCGTACAGTTCAACTGCTAATGGTCAAATCAGCTAAACTAATAATGGTGCAGCTAACAACTGAACAACGAGTTTTTATTGTCGTGCATGATAACTTGAATGCTAACTGTCGACCTTGTAAAATAAATTGTAAATAAAATTTTACTCGTTAAATACTTTCAATTCAGCTCGTTGGTTTACGCACCCGACTTTGTTTACCGACGATTGTGCCGCTAGAATATGATTATAAGCTTTCTCGCATTCCAGGGGCCAAACGTCTTTTGTGTTGTAGAACAAAGAGGATATTCATGAATATTAAGTGGTTGTGTTTTTTTTGATACACCCTGTATAATAATTCCTGGAGAACTTGCTCCTAATGTTTTGGGTTAAAAAAGTGAAGCAAGAAACATGGCGGATTTTTCGTGCTGACGCCAGATATGGTCCGAAAAGGCCATGGTAATTACCACTGACCAACTGCGATACAAGCCAACAAACGTTGTTCTTCACCCAAAATTCCCGCCTTTCAGTTTTTTCAAAGTGTTACACGTAAAAAACGTTAACCAAGGTTTTTTAAAGAAAATGCTGCAGTTTTTCTCCGCCTTTGGATGCCATAACCAATCCTCCTACCGGTAAGATACTTTTAAACATAGTTTTAGATTATATTTACAATAAACAAGACGCCTGTTCTGACGTTAACTCCGGCGTGCCGTGCACGTGCCAAGTCTTCAATATCTGAACATAAACAATACAGTTCATACACATTTAGATGCCCTGCCAATGCAGTGATCACGTGACATACATGTGATCAGTCATGTATATAAATAGCTAAGGAATGTATTATTGGGGTCTTTGGGATTAAATACAAGACAATGGCATCACTATAAATGGCGACGAGGACAAATGATAATAATACAAAGCAAATTAATCAACAAATGGTAAAATATGGCAACTGCTGGTGATATCCACCGTAATGATCGTATAAGCAGTCGAGGTGGTGGTGTATGTGTCTATTCTTCGCAAAACATTTCCTGTCAGCGGAGACTAGATCATGAAAATCCTAATTTTGAATGTATTTGGTTATGGATCCGCCCGACCCGCCTACCAAGACCTCCTATCATAGCCTGCATTGTTTACAACCCCCCGGTAGATCTGCCGAAGAACATCGTGACCTGGAGGCATATCTCCTGAATACAACGGACTCTATTCGAAATCGTTTTTCTTGGGGATTTTAATAATTTCGACATTGTTTATTTAACTCGCAGTCTTGGGCTGTAACAGATTGTTAGTTCTCCCACAAGGGGATCAGCTACTCTTGACCTCATAATAACGGATTTACAAGATCTTTATAATAAGCCGAACATACTTGCACCGCTTGGATCTGCTGACCATAATATAGTACAATGGATCCCTAATAAACTAGACACTGCCCGTAAATCCCAAGCTAAACCGATTAAGTGGCTTATTCGTGGTCATCCGCGATCCGCCATTAATGCTTTTACTCGGTGGGCTAGTTCACATCAATGGTTTGAAGATCTTGGTCCAAGTCCCTCTGTAGATGATCTTGCTGTCTCCGTCTCAAGTATCAACAGCATTGGACAAATTTATGCCACTGAGGTCTGCAAGGTTTTGCCATTCTGATAAGCCTTGGGTATCAGCGTCGATTAAAAAACTTATCAAGGAGCGTCAAAAAGCCTTCCATAATAGAAATAAACTCCGGTGAAAAACATTAAAGTATAGTTCAACATCTAAAGAAAGACGATTGTCGAAAGTGGTGGCAAACCGTAAATAAAATGGCTGGTCGGGCCCATAAGGATAAACTTGTTTTGGAAAAGGATGGTAAAGTGTTATCGGATCTGGAGTTGGTTAATTCTCTTAACAGTTTTTACATCTCTGTTAATGCAGACATCTCACAGCTTGACACCACGCTATTTCCATCATACTTACCCGCAGCGGATCCAGTCCCTTGTATTGAACCCTACGAAGTGTGTAAAAAATTGCTAGCCATTGATACATCGAAAACTTGTGGTCCTGACAATTTACCTGGTCGCCTTTTAAAGGAATTTGCATACTCTTTCGCAGAACCGGTTGCGAACATTTTTAATACGTCACTTTCTTCTGGGATTGTTCCAAATATATGGAAAGATTCATGGATCACCCCTATGCCAAAAATAGAGCAACCTGTTAATGAAGCTGATACAAGACCTATATCACTAACGGCATGCCTTTGTAAAGTTCTCGAAGATTTTGTCGTTCATTGGATGATTTCCGATGTCCGGCATAATATTGATCCACAACAGTTTGGTTCCCTAAAGGGTTGATCTACCTATTGCTTGCTTGACTTGTTGCATTCTTGGCTTTCCCATCTGGACTCTCCAGGTCAATATATTCGTATATGTTTTTTGGGTTTTTCCAAGGCCTTTGACCAAATTGGCCACAATGTGCTTATCCAAAAACTGATTAACATAGGAGTTAGAAGATCTTTAATTCCATGAATTACGAATTTTCTATCAGAGCAACGGCAGTGTGTTAAAGTTGGTGAAACTGTTTCTAGCTGGTTGCCTGTTAAAGCAGGAGTCCCTCAAGGAACTAAACTGGGTCCCATTCTATTTTTAATCATGGTCAATAATTTACAATGCAGGTCAGGAAAACTCTGACATTTGGAAATTCGTTGACGACGTTTCCCTCTCCGAAGGTCTCTCAAGAAATGGGCAACCGTCTGTGATTTAGGCTGATTTAATGTCTGTAGATGCTCGGGCATCTAATAATTTGATGAAATTAAACGCAAAGTAATGCAAGATCTTAATTTGTTTTTTCCGAAGCAAACCAGATTCACCAAACTTATCTGTTGGAAACCAAATATTAGAAGCTGTATCATCACATAAGGTCCTTGGTGTGATTATCTAGGATGATTTAAAGTGGAACGAACATATCGCAATGATTATCACTAAAGCGTCCAAGCGATTATACATCCTGCGGGTTTTGCAGCGAGGAGGGATTCCACCACATGATCTATTTACAATTTACTACACGCTGGTTAGATCTGTTTTAGAATATTGTTGTACATGCAGTGTGGCATTGTGGCCTGCCTGGGTATCTGTCTGACGAAATTGAGAAAGTTAAAAAACGCGCATTGAGAATTATACTGCCAGGTGGATCTTACTGTGAAGCGCGAGAACTGCTGCAATGTCATAGACTTGATAATCGTCGAAGCGAACTTTGAGGGAAAACAATAGGTAATTTTAAACTTAATTTAATAATAGGTAATTTTAAACTAAATTTTGAACTATCTTGTAAAAATAGGTATTCTTATTTGTATATATATACGTGTAGGTAATAACTCTTAAACTCATGTAAAACACATTGTAATTCATTTTTTATGCGACGATGTGTTATTTAATCTCTCTCTCATGATAGAGGTTAAAACGATGATTATACAACAGCAATCGAAAAATTTGACGAATATTTTGCCCCAAAGAAAAATGTAACCTACGAAATATTTCAGTTTCGTCAGGCAAAGCAAAATAGCGACGAAACGACAGACCAATTTGCGACCCGATTACGCAAACTTGCCGCTCATTGTGAATTTCATGACGTTGATAAAATCGGCCATTATTCAAAACTGTCGCTCTCAATTCTCAGACTTCGCCGCTCTCGCTTCGAACGACAAACTCGAGCCCAATGATTAGCTTTTCCACACTTCTTACATTCAGTTCCGTAGGTAGGGCATTTTATTTTTGGATTACTGAGATGCCCTTCTCCGCAATTGTTATCACTGCGCATACCATGAACCTCCTTTGTTTGGCCACTGTAAAGTTGACCCATCTGTGTCAGCGTAACTTCGTAAGTTCTGCAAACGTACATTTGTTCGTCCAATGTGAGAGATTCCCCTTTGGATAACAATTGCTCTTGTACTTTTTTGTGTTTAGCAAAGCCGTAGCAAGTAGCTTAATTGGAGGTGGTGTATATTCATATGTTCGTCTTATGCCCGACTGATTTCTTTTGTTGGCTATAGTTCCTACGGTATATAAACATGAATTTATGAATGTACACCCCCCAATTAAGCGGTATAGCTACGACCCTGGTGTTTAGAACCGATAATTAACTGCTCAATCGAGCGCTCACTCATCATCATCAATAGATTCTTCTTGCATTTGCTTTAAGTGCTGTAATTGATACCTTGCTAGACGTTCACTTTCGGCGCTAGATGCCTTTCGAATCGCTTCCAAATTCTACTTGGTTTAATACATTCGGATCGTCTTCCCACGACCAACTATTGTAGGTCCCGATCACTTGCCTTTCAATCCATAGAAAAATGAACGAGGCTTGTTCTTTCTCTGTCTTCTCGGCGAACGGACCCGCAAAAGTCAAACTACAGTATTTTTTAAACTTTGCAAATTCATCAGGCAAATCTGTAGCTTGCCAGTTCATCTCCGGTCGTTTCAGACATAATTGACTTCTTATACACTGGCAGTAAAAAAGAACTGCTCAAATTTGTTTTTCATACATAGGCAAAAGTTTTATCTTGTAACAAAAGATTTTACTTTCCTTTTCCCTAAATAATTATGTTTAACCGTGTGGAAATGTCCTACATTCTTCCCCGAGTCTTTTGACCTAGATAAGCGTTAAATCAAAAGTCGTGGTTTACTCCAGTTCCAACAAGAGTTATTCAGTGGATAAGAAGAATCTAAAGCAAGTTACGCAATCATGGGTCCAAAGCCAAGAATGAGTCTTGAACGTCGAGGAATGGTGCTGGCATTGTCGAAAGAAAGCCACTCCCAACGCAAGATTGCTAGTAGAGTTGGCTGCAGTCAAAGAAGTGTCCGTGACATACACAAGAAGAGACTGACTGGCAGCGTTAAAGATTGCAAGATACCGGGCAGGAAAAGAAAGACAGCAAGAGGAGAAGACA